TTGATGTGCAACCTTCGTTTTGTGTACTGTTAACAACAACGGTTATGTGTAAAATTTAGCAAGTAAAAAATTATATCAAAATTATAAAAGTAATGGTTTATAAAAAAATTAATAAAGTTATACCTGAAAGCGCGTTGTCTATTTGTTACTTCATTTTCAGTATCATATATGTATAGTTGTGAAAACTTTGGTTTGGATCCGTCTATAGGTAGAAGACTTCCCATACAATGGTAATTTTGACCGCTAAGTCTGAAAACATATGGAGCATTGCCCCTATTAATGGAAGAATCAACTTTTCCACCCATTGAAGTAAAGGAAAACATCGAATTGAATCGACGAATATTCTTCATGAAATTTTTTCCTTTTGGATCAACATTACGAAAGAGATTTTGATAATTTGTTGGAGCTTGTCTTAATTCAGGAAGCTCGACTTTTCCGTTACCACAACACATGGAATAAGAAGTTTTATTTCCGGAAGTATTGCCTTTAAGAGCTTCATATGTCCATAATTGTGCATGACACATGGTACACACAAATGTTTGGTCACCATGGTCCAAGTAATCTGTTTAATAAAAACATTTGTAAAACTTTGAAATAATTTAATGTTGCAACAAGTAATAATTTAAATATAAAAGGGGATTATAAATAAAAATTAATATTTTCCTTTTGCAATACCTGATATTAACTGTTGACGGATTTCTTGATCACGTAAATCTTCATCTGATGTTAGGTCCAAAATGGGTATCTGAGATATATTTGGAATCTTTCTTTTTCTATTTAGTTTTCTGCATGATAAATTGCTGGAAGAAGCTTGAGTGACTGAAGTTGAATTCGTAGCTCTCATGTCACCGGACAAGGTAGAATATTGTGCATTTACTAACAATAAAAGTATGACAATTAGTATTAAACTTATAAAGTAAATATATAAAAAATAAAAAACAATAAAAAAATGAATACATATTATTTTATATTGTTTTATGTATACCATATATAGTAACAAACAGTAAGTTGAATATAAATGTAGTCATACCATTCGAAATGTTGGACAACGGAGTTCTTGTAAAAAAATCAAAAGCAGATTTAAAATGTTATTGATCACGACCAACATTACCTATCAATAAAAGATAAGTTCATATAAATATGTATTAATTAGGGAACAATTAAGAAACATATAAAATAACATAGTATCTTATTACAATATTTAGAATAAGTTCATATGGATACAATTAAATTAGTAAGATGATATATATCATATACCGATTGGTACGGTGGACATGTGATTGGATCTTCTTGTATCCAAATAAAATTTCCTTTCTTTTCGTTTATCTTTAGCCTTGTTCGAGAATGGACTGTCGATATAAATATTCGAAATAGACTGAACCCGTGTTTGCTGATATCCACATGACAAAGTTGGGCTGACATTTTCATTGTTACCAACAATATTGACAAACTTGGTTGATGAAGGTGTTTGAATGTTGGTAGTTATATTAGAAAGCCCTGTAAAATAATATAAAATATGTAAGCTATAAAGCAGATACAAATAAGTGTAAGTTACATATAATAAGAAAAATAAAAAACAAAAAAAAAAATTAAATGATATATATATATATATATATATATATATATATATATATATATATATATAAGCGATTTATAAAATAATAATGTTTAATTAATTGCAATGTAGCAAAAAGTGTAGGTAATACATAATAATATTTAAGATTCAGAGGATTGTGTGTGATTAAAAATATAATATAAAAAAAAATTAGTCTATCCGATAAAAAACGATATACCATTAGATGATGTGGACATATGATTGGATCTTTTCTTATCCAAATATAATTTTCTAAGTTTTCTGTTCTCTCTAGCAGCATCAGACAATGCATTTCTAATATTAAAAGTTGAAGCAGCAACGAAACTTGTATGTTGAAATGCGGATGATATATTTGGATTCAAATTTTCATTGTCATCGCGAATATGTGTAGAATTGTTTGTAGATGATAAATGTTGTCGAGAGTAACCTACATTGAATATATAATAATAAGAATGACTAATTAGAAAATGCAACGATTATATCAGATAAAACGTCAGAAGATATAAAACAATATTTGTTCAACAGCCGTTAGATATAAAACATTACTGAATATGAAAGTAAATTGAGATGTAGATAAAGAATTACCAAATGACAAGTTGGACATAACATTGGATCTTCGTTGATCCAAATATAATTTTCTATATCTGCGCCTTTGTTTATGTTCGTTTGAATCCATATCGTGTTTGTAGCTTAAGAACAAAAAGAATTATGTAATAAAAAGTATATTGACAATAATTTCATTAAAATTTAAAATTGAAAATTATAATAAACGGAAACATTAATACAATTAACATATAGTAGTTAAAATTTGGTAATATTTAAGAATTGTATACTTTACATTAATAAAAATCAAGAGTTCCAACAAAGAAGTGTATATTAACATAACAATTAAAATAAGATTTTTATCAAAAAAAATAATTTTAAAAGATTTAGGAAAATATACATAAGCATATATATTAATACTTGCATCAAAAAAATTTATATTCATTTTGATATAACAAATAAAGGAAGCATTTCATAAATAATAAAAATAAGAAAAGAGAAGGAAAACCCGTTTTTTAGATGAGGCCGTTAAATTTCTTGCTAGAATGTTGATTTTTGACCTGGTTTAATATAAGAGTCAGCACAAGAGATTAAGAGATTAATAAGACAAAGATACAGAAAGATTCGTTGAAAATGACAAAAATACCCTTATGCAAAACTTATTGTGTTTCATTTTTCTAAGTTCTAACAATTATAATTAATATTTTTAATGGATTTTATTCTATTGCAAATATGGAGTCAATATAAATCATCATAATTTTCGAAAGCATAATGATTACTACAAATCATGTTAAAAACAATATGATAATAGAAAAACAGAAAACCAAAGTAGGTTCTGCAGCAATGCCTAAAAAAACAAAAACTGTAAATTGTAAATTTGCTAACGAATGTAGTAAAAGATTAAGAACTAAAAAAAGGAGGAGGTGAAACTTATGAGTAAAATGGATATACGATTCATTAAAAAAGTTAAGCAAGATTCTTTTGTCTTCTAACATGCTATGCTTAATGAAACCACTGAAGTTATCAAGTATATTTATATGTATTTTTTTTAACGGGAAGTAGATTGAATCTATGCAAAAACACATTTAGGTGAATATGGACAAAATGTGCAAAATAGTGAACATTTTATTGTAAAAATGACGTTTTTGACCCTTGGTCATACATCAATCATAAATAGTTGGGCACAACAAAAAGTATTAGTATTTTTCAATTTCATTAATGAACATCAAAACAATAAAAAGTCACAATAATAGTGATAATAGATCATTTCATTATTTTTCCTGTTTCCATTACATCACACAAACCAAATATAACCACTTTCAAATAAGTAGGAAAACACATAAAACAACAAAGTTGAAAAGAAACATGCATACCAATTAATTATTTTTTGTAATTAGATTGTTGTAAATGGTTTGAAGTTTGAATCCCAATGTTGAAAGCAAGGACTTAGGATGGAAAACAGGGTATAGTAGTTCATTATCAAAGAATGGTCAATTGTAATGTTCTGCAATTCATCATCAAGTTGGACACACAGGAACATAAAAACTGTTAAGCAGGTACACACACATACACATTGATAAACATAAACTGATGTTAAAAAAACAACACACATTAAAAAAAACACAAAAAGAAACAAAAGATAAACAAAAAAAATTTGAAAGTATTTTTTTATAAACTTACAGAAATGATTGAACTCTGTGATTGTGATTGAAAACACGATTTTGCACTGTGATGATGCAAAAATTTGGAACACGATGTTGTAATAAACTCAATATTTCAAGAGACAGTGAAATCAGAAGAATTAGAATGAGTTAGACATAATAAGTAATTTATAAAAATTATTTTTGGAAAGGATATCAAAGTTTGGTTTGAAATTATAGAGTAATCCAAAATTTTAGCTGTCATGAATCAATCTTTGAAATGTTTCCCAAGTTAGCGTGATATTGGTGATATTGAAACTGCTGACCAAATTTTTTCATGATTATAATTGCTCTGTCATTCTAATAGTAATTCCTGCATATTAGGCACTAACTTCTTACATTATAAAATCAAATTGAAAAAAAAAAACGTAAATGAGGATTCCATAAATTAAGCTACTATATAAAGATAGAAAAATTAAAATCCATGAAAACAAATATCTTCCTTTTTTAAAATAAACATCTCTTGCATCATGTCACAATTAAAAGTTTTGGAAAATTGTAATATACGACTATATTATTGTTATTTATAAAATTATTATTTTATCACTTATAGTGGCTATAATGGTGTATAGATTTTTGTTATTTATAACATTATAAAAAATTTCTACTTTTGAAATTTTAAGTTGTCTAACCGTGTAAAACACGAGCTTTAGGGTAGTATTTGATATAAATAACAAAAATTGACTATGCAAATTATGAGATTTAAAATGTAGCATAAAATGAGTTATACATCAAGTGAAATTACGTATAAGAATCATGGACTGTAAAAGAAAGTTGTGAAGATTTAAATATATATCCAATAATAAGAGTAAAAAATTCTTTGTATTTGGATGACCGTTAAATTTTGTTGTAGGATGTGAAAGAGAATACTAATAAAAATGTCTTTAATAACCGAAATATAAAAGACGATTATGAAGAAAATATGAATGTAATGTCCAAATATCAAGTGCAATATAATGATCGCATAAAGAGTCAAATCCAAGTTGCTTATAATAAAAGAAAAAGTAAAACCTAACATGAATGAATATTCATAGTGTACCAAACACTAAAAATTAAAATCCCAAATAAAATGCAAGTAAACGTGCCGAATATTAAAAAAAATGTCTAAGGAAATAGCATAAAGTAGCAAAGAAAGATCGAAGTTATTGTCTTCATAAACAGGATCATTTTTCAACTTTAGGAATCAACAATTTTGTTGTTCCAACAACTTTGCCATCTCCAATACGGGGTGCATTAGGTTTCGTTGCTGATTCATAAACGTCATCATCAAGATCGTAAACATCTACAAGTTTACGTTTGGCACTTGTAGGCGGTGAATTTAGGTTGTTGACTGTTCTTGATGATATGCCAGATGGAATATTCGACACAGGAGTATTATCAGCAGTGTGGGAAGTAGCATCCTTAAATAAAAAAACAAATAATGTTGTTTAGTAATATAAAGGATAAGATATATGAGTAAATGATGTTGTAATGTAGTTTACCTTACAACCCACTGTTTCCTGAGATGCAAATTCTGAGCCAATTATATTAACAGATTCAGTATCCATGTCCTATAAAATTAATGATAAAATAAAACAGTATGTCGGGTTAAGGAATCCAGAAAATAGTATTTTCAAAATATGTATGTTTTAAATTAATTAAATTGGTGTATTTTTACCTGTTCAATCCTACTCTTTTTCTCAATTTTCTCCAAAGTAGAAATAATGTCAACATTATCCGTTATTTTGGAAATGTTGTAAGAACGACCAAATCTTGAAACATTAAATGTCTTGACAACAATCTTGAAAGCCAATTTTTTGTCGATCATGGCATTCAACTCAATAGGAAACTGACTTGTATTGCCAAACTACAAAAATATATTAATAAATAATAACAATTAAAAGAATGTGTGAAAATTAAGTTGTATTTAGCAAGATGGTATTGCATATAAGAAACATATACCTTTTCATATTTTGATAATAAATCAGCAGCAGATAGTTTCAGAATATTTCTGACTTCACGATCAAAGATCGTAAGACTCACAACACCAACTAAACCTTGAACTCGAACTTTGATCATAAAACTAAAAAAAACACATAAAAATTTTAAAAGTGTAAATTAAATATAATAATATTGAAGAATAATAAACTAAGTTAATATGTATTACACACCTTGGTTCAGCAGTAATAAGTTTGTCCTTGCACTTTTCATTTGTACAAACCATAATCTCTTTCTCTTCTAACTGGTCCAAGCCATTGACCGTCTCATTTGAAACCTTAACTATTTGAACCTTTGACTTGCAATGTGTGCAAGCATTATAATACCAGTTCCGTGTATCTTCAAACATCTTTATTGTGCCAAGAATTACCGCACAACCTCCCTATGACATTAGGTGTATTAAATATTTAAGTGTTGAATTAACTAAATAAAAAAAGAATAATTCATATACCATGTTCAATTCGTGAATAGCGGATATTTGGTGAAAAGAGTTTTTTTTAAGAAAGTCATCATGTAGTGAATACATGATGGATGAACCCGAGGTGCGTGAATCCGAGGAAGTCAAAGAGCCTTTTTTTGCTTGTAAACTAATTAAGTTAATTAATGTTAGATAGTATAACTCTATATTATTGAAACATTAAAACGTAATGAGAAATCATGTAGAAAATTGACATAACCTTTTTTTGAAAGTTGTTATCTCCTCAATGTCATCTTCAATATAAAGTTTTGTGGCCAAGTAGGTGTTATTGACATAAGGACGATCTGAAAATGAAATTTAATAATTTTCCACATGTTAACAAATTCATATCATAGATATATTATTAATATAAATATTAGAAATTAACAATTTACTAAGTAAGTACCTCGGACAAGCTTCAACTTAGCACATTGAATAAGCAATACAAAATGACCAGTATTCTTAGAGACATATGCATTAATTTCATCAGCATACCTTCCCTATAGGGTAACAAAAACTTCATGTCCTCTGTAAAAAATGATGAAAATTACTAAAAAAATATATAATAAAAAGAGTAATTATAGGTATAAAAAATGAAACCCACTCTAAATCCTCCATTTTGAATGTGATTTTCTTTTCCTGTCTATCCTTTGCAGGTTCCAATGGAAAACACCGGAAAACGTTTCCAATAACATCTATATTATACGAAAGGAAAAATGTAAGTATGTTTTTTTGTGGTGCAAAAAATGAAATTTAAATGTTTTAATCCATTAGTAATGGGTTGAAAGGAAATGCACTAACCAAATGAAATTTTTGGGTTTATTGCATTATGATGAAGTTGTTGGAAGTCTGCAAAATCAAAAGAATTCTGTGGCCCGCAAAAATCTATGCATTTGGTTACCTTCGTGGTATACTGGAAATAGAGTTTGTGTGGACCGTCGACAAACTTTATAGCACCTTCATTTAACCCTAATGTGGGTTTATGAATGTAGTAATCACCATATTCTTCAAGAGATTTTCCTTGAAGCGATGCAAATGGTTTGTCCACATTACATTCAATTTTTGAGCCCTTAAGATAAAAAATCAAATATTAATTAATAAGCATACAATAAATGTAATGATATATAAGATATGTAAGTTATAATACACATACATATAATTGTAAGTTAACATACGTAAGTTATAACATACCATTTCATCCATCAATATCATGCCAATCATACGAAGTTGTTGATTCCATGAAGTTTGTCTCCACAAACGGATGACACGGACCTTAATGGTATAGTCATCTTGTGAGAGAGCCAACTCACTTATCATGCTAATCTTCCTGTTTTCCATTAATCTATTCAAGAATGTAGTAATGAACATAAGAAAACAACATTTTAATTGCATAAATGACAAAACATTTAGGTTGAAGATATGCAAATAGACATTTAGGTCAATATGGACCGAGACAAGAGTTGTGCAATAACGCGAGTAATCCGAAGATACCAGAAGTGTCCCACAACTATAATCAAAACATACGATGTTCATCATGCTCACCGTATTGTAGGGGGAAAAATTGTATGCTGTATCTTCCGAGGAGAGTTACTTTATTTGAAGTTGTTATAAAATGGAATTTTAATATATTTTTTTTACATAAAACAGTAGAACAAAGTCGGTTCTGCAGATTGAAGATATGCAAATAGACATTTAGGTCAATATGGACCAGACGTGTTAAATAGCCAACAGATTTGTAAAAATGACATTTTTGCCCCTTGCTCATAGAAAAATCATAAATAGTTGGGGACAGAAAAAAGTATTAGTATTTTTCACATTAATCAATTAACATTAAGCCCAAATCATGTTAAAAACAAAATGATAATAGAAAAACAGAAAACCAAAGTAGGTTCTGCAGCAATGCCTAGGAAAACAAAAACTGTAAATTGTAAATTTCCTAATGAATATAGTAAAAGATTAACAACAAAAAAAGGAGGAGGTGAAAATGATGTTAGAAACACATAATTTTAAAGCATACATTTTTTGTAGTTTTTTTTTTCTAATAACACCTGTAACAGCAATGATGTTATCATGATTCTAAGAGGTATTCAATTTGTTATCTGCTACGGGTAATGAAACGACTGGAGTTATGAAGAATATTTATATGTTTTTTTTGAATTGTAAGTAGATTGAATGTATGCAAATTCACATTTAGTTTAAAAATGACCTTTTTGACCCTTGGTCATACAAAAAAAAAACATTAACAGTGATAATAAAGTATTCCATTCCTTTTCCTGTTTCCATTCCATCACATGAAACAAATATAACAACTTTCAAATAAGTAGGAAAACACCTAAAACAGCATAGTTGAACGAAAACATGAATAACAATTTTTTTTTTTTTAATTATGTTGCTGTAAATGGTTTCAATTTTGACTCCCAAGGTTGAAAGCAAGGAGTTAGGATGGAAAACAGGGGCTTTTATAAGAGAATTTATTTCATTCTAAGTCTCCTGTTTAACAAAAGTCTACATAAAAAATCATTGTTCAATATGGACCAGACGTGTTAAATAGCCAACAGATTTGTAAAAATGACGTTTTTACCCCTTGCTCATAGAAAAATCATAAATAGTTGGGGAAAAAAAAAGTATTAGTATTTTTCACTTTAATCAATCAACATTAAAACATAAAAAAATCAAAAATAATAGTAATAATAGTAAAACAAAGTCAGTTCTGCAGCAATGCCCAAATCATGTTAAAAAGAAAATGATAATAGAAAAACAAAAAACCAAAGTAGGTTCTGCAGCAATGCCTAAAAAAACAAAAACTGTAAATTGTAAATTTCCTAATGAATATAGTAAAAGATTAACAACCAAAAAAAGGAGGAGGTGAAAATGATGTTAGAAAAACATAATTTTAAAGCATGCCTTTTTTGTAGTGTTTTTTTTTCTAATAACACCTGTAACAGCACTGAAGTTATAATGATTCTAAGAGGTATTCAGTTTGTTATCTGCTATGGGTACTTAAACGACTGGAGTTATGAAGAATATTTATATGTTTATTTTTTTGAATTGTAAGTAGATTGAATGTATGCAAATTCACATTTAGTTTAAAAATGACGTTTTTGACCCTTGGTCATACAAAAAAAAAACATTAACAGTGATAATAGAGTATTCCATTCCTTTTCGTGTTTCCATTCCATCACATGAAAACACCTTTCAAATAAGTAGGAAAAAACCTAAAACAGCATAGTTGAAATAAAACATGAATAACAATTTTTTTTTTTTTTAATTATGTTGCTGTAAATGGTTTCAATTTTGACTCCCAAGGTTGAAAGCAAGGAGTTAGGATGGAAAACAGGGGCTTTTATAAGACAATTTATTTCATTCTAAGTCTCCTATTTAACAAAAGTCTACATAAAAAATCATTGTTCATCTTATTTATTTACAGCTTCAATGTTGCTCCAAAACTTATACATAGAGAGTTACAGACAGTTAATCATACGTTTTAATGCCCCTGTTTTCATCTACCACATTTTGATACATGGAATGAAAACTCAAAAGTCAGAATCATGCGTTTTATATTGGATTGAATTAGGAACATAAACAGTTAAACACAAACACACATGAACATAAACAGTTAACAATTAATTTTTTTTAATTATGTTGCAGTAAATGGTTTCAATTTTGAATCCCAAGGTTGACAGCAAGGAGTTAGGATGGAAAACAGTTAACGCACACACACGCATACACATTGAGAAGATGTTAAAAAAACAACACACACATTAAAAAAAACACAAGAAGAAACAAAAGATAGACAAACAATTTAAAAGTAGTTTTTTTATAAACTTACCGAATGGATTGAAGTCTGTGATTGAAAAGAAGATTTTCCACTGTGATGATGCAAAACTTTAGAAGACGATGCTGTAAAGTCAGCACTGCAAGAGACAATGTTAACAGATGAATACAATTGAGTTATACGTAAAAAGTAATTTATAAAAATGATTTTTGGAAAGGATGTCAAATTTTGATACATTCCCTGCAAAAATTACATGAGTGAAGGAAAGTTTGAAAAGTTTCTCCCAATTAACGTTATTTTAAAAGGAATTGACAGAATTGTGTTGATGTTATTTAAGAAGGTTTATTTGAAATTAATGCCTCCCTTGCAAAAATTACGTGAGCTTTTAAGTAGTTATTGAATTTCTTTAAATTCAGAGAAATTCATATATTGTAATTATAATACGGATTTTTAAATTTAAAAGCAAAAAAATTAGAATTTGCCAAGTGGAATTAAAGGTAATTGGAAAAATAGATTAAATGCCATGTGGCATAGTGAATAAGGTGATGACATGTGGCAATGTTATTTTCTTTTATTAGGGTAGAAGAAAGTTGTGAAGATTTAAATATATATCCAATAATAAGAGTAAAAAATTCTTTGTATTTGGATGACCGTTAAATTTTGTTGTACGATGTGAAAGAGAATACTAATAAAAATGTCTTTAATAACCGAAATATAAAAGACGATTATGAAGAAAATATGAATGTAATGTCCAAATATCAAGTGCAATATAATGATCGCATAAAGAGTCAAATCCAAGTTGCTTATAATAAAAGAAAAAGTAAAACCTAACATGAATGAATATTCATAGTGTACCAAACACTAAAAATTAAAATCCCAAATAAAATGCAAGTAAACGTGCCGAATATTAAAAAAAATGTCTAAGAAAATAGCATAAAGTAGCAAAGAAAGATCGAAGTTATTGTCTTCATAAACAGGATCATTTTTCAACTTTAGGAATCAACAATTTTGTTGTTCCAACAACTTTGCCATCTCCAATACGGGGTGCATTAGGTTTCGTTGCTGATTCATAAACGTCATCATCAAGATCGTAAACATCTACAAGTTTACGTTTGGCACTTGTAGGCGGTGAATTTAGGTTGTTGACTGTTCTTGATGATATGCCAGATGGAATATTCGACACAGGAGTATTATCAGCAGTGTGGGAAGTAGCATCCTTAAATAAAAAAACAAATAATGTTGTTTAGTAATATAAAGGATAAGATATATGAGTAAATGATGTTGTAATGTAGTTTACCTTACAACCCACTGTTTCCTGAGATGCAAATTCTGAGCCAATTATATTAACAGATTCAGTATCCATGTCCTATAAAATTAATGATAAAATAAAACAGTATGTCGGGTTAAGGAATCCAGAAAATAGTATTTTCAAAATATGTATGTTTTAAATTAATTAAATTGGTGTATTTTTACCTGTTCAATCCTACTCTTTTTCTCAATTTTCTCCAAAGTAGAAATAATGTCAACATTATCCGTTATTTTGGAAATGTTGTAAGAACGACCAAATCTTGAAACATTAAATGTCTTGACAACAATCTTGAAAGCCAATTTTTTGTCGATCATGGCATTCAACTCAATAGGAAACTGACTTGTATTGCCAAACTACAAAAATATATTAATAAATAATAACAATTAAAAGAATGTGTGAAAATTAAGTTGTATTTAGCAAGATGGTATTGCATATAAGAAACATATACCTTTTCATATTTTGATAATAAATCAGCAGCAGATAGTTTCAGAATATTTCTGACTTCACGATCAAAGATCGTAAGACTCACAACACCAACTAAACCTTGAACTCGAACTTTGATCATAAAACTAAAAAAAACACATAAAAATTTTAAAAGTGTAAATTAAATATAATAATATTGAAGAATAATAAACTAAGTTAATATGTATTACACACCTTGGTTCAGCAGTAATAAGTTTGTCCTTGCACTTTTCATTTGTACAAACCATAATCTCTTTCTCTTCTAACTGGTCCAAGCCATTGACCGTCTCATTTGAAACCTTAACTATTTGAACCTTTGACTTGCAATGTGTGCAAGCATTATAATACCAGTTCCGTGTATCTTCAAACATCTTTATTGTGCCAAGAATTACCGCACAACCTCCCTATGACATTAGGTGTATTAAATATTTAAGTGTTGAATTAACTAAATAAAAAAAGAATAATTCATATACCATGTTCAATTCGTGAATAGCGGATATTTGGTGAAAAGAGTTTTTTTTAAGAAAGTCATCATGTAGTGAATACATGATGGATGAACCCGAGGTGCGTGAATCCGAGGAAGTCAAAGAGCCTTTTTTTGCTTGTAAACTAATTAAGTTAATTAATGTTAGATAGTATAACTCTATATTATTGAAACATTAAAACGTAATGAGAAATCATGTAGAAAATTGACATAACCTTTTTTTGAAAGTTGTTATCTCCTCAATGTCATCTTCAATATAAAGTTTTGTGGCCAAGTAGGTGTTATTGACATAAGGACGATCTGAAAAT